TCCAAAACACAAAGAGCAATGAAAGACAGATGCTGGGTATCGGTCTTAAAAAGAAAACTCATGGATCAGAGAAAAAACAAAGGTGAAGGATGTATCAAGACAGGTTGCAAAACTTAAATGGAACTTCGCCGGTCACACTCTCCGGCAAAATAATGAAAGATGGAATAAGCGAATTCTACACTGGAGACCATGGGAAAAGAAAATAAAAAAGAGGAAGACCACAGATGAGATGGACTGACGATCTTAAGAGAACGGCAGGAAAGGACTGGATGCAGATCGCCCAAAATAGAGACAAATGGAGATTAACAGGGGAGGCCTATGCCCAAGAGTGGGCGTTTAAGGCTGATTAGATAGATAGATAGATACCTTCACCATTTTAAGTCCTTAAAACTTGTAAAATACCAGTGTCGGAATAGGGTCCTGGGGAGGTTTTGACCCCCAAAACCCCCCCTGGTGCGCCACTGCACTCGGTGATAACTCCCAACGCTTCGGCAGACGCAGTGACTGTTCTGTATGCACACGCCACCCTCAATAGACTCTTCCTATCTGTTCGGGTGAGCTGCTTTCTGTACGCCTTTGTTAAAACTGCAGTACTCAAGACAGGCGTAACGTAGAGGACGAACGATTCGCACGCTTCCTTGAGTTCATCTACGGTAAAAGGTACAGCTCGCTCAGCTTCAGCGTTCCATTGATGATTAGCAAAACAAAAAAAAAAAAGCACAAGAAATTCACATGATGATTAGCAAAACTTTATTAATTCAGAGTTTACAAATAAAATTACCATAACTCTGTGACATATTTAACAAATTAAATGATTTGAATAAATCTATGCAGGGAAACAATACTGATATCCTTCAATTGGTAGATAAAATTACTGTGTTTCAGAAGAAGTTGCTCTTATGGAAGAGAAAATGAGAAGATTAAGAAATTGACTGTTTTCATACTTTACAAGGTATTCTACAATAAAAATCGATAGAAATCCTTGATCTCTCTTTAAAAAATATATTTGCGTAGTTTGCTTTCTTTCAAAAATCGATAGAGCGGATTCATCTGTTTTCGTTAGCGTCCATGCCTCTGATCCATATGTGAGAACGGGGACTATCAGTGTTCTATACACCCTTATACCAGTTTTTTGACGTTTGACGTTTGTTTAGACCATGATAACACCTGTTTGCAATTATTATTCACCTTTTTATTTCCTGAGATGTGTTATTTTTGGGGTTAACCGATGTCAGATGATAAAGGACTCTTTGACTGCTTCGAAGTTTTGGTCATTCATGATTAAATTTGCGTCAACACTTCCGGCTCTTGTGTTTGTGTTAGTCGCCATGAATTTGGTTTTATTTTGATTTATATGTAACCCCATTCGTTCTGCTGCTGCTACTAGCTCGGTTGGGATTTCCGCAGTTCTCGCCCTGGTTCTTGTTATAATGTCCACGTCGTCTGCATATGCTAGAATTTGGACTGATCTATTAAATATTTGTTCCCCTGCTATCTAAATTAGCGTCTCGTACAACTTTTTCTAAGTCGACATTAAAAAGCTGACATCTCCCTGCCTTAACCCCCTATGTATTTCAAATGGGTTGACGAGTCGTTTTGAATTTTTTAGTGCTGATATCATCTTTGCCATTGTCACTTTTATCAAACATATGAGTTTTTTTGGAATTCCTAACTCACTCATAGCGTTATAAAGACTTTGTCTTAAGACACTGTCATATGCCGCTTTAAAATCGACAAAAATATGATACATATATATCTCTTGCGCTTTTTTCAAGGATCTGTCGTAGTGTAAAGATCTATCTGGTTAATGGTTGAACGTCCACGCCTGAATCCTGCCTAATATTCTCCTAGAAGCATTTCGGTATAAGGCTTTAATCTCTCGTGCAAAATGTTTGACAACATATTGTATGCTGTAATGAGTAGAGCTAAACAATATGAAATACCGCTAGCATTAACCTTCATAGATTTCGAGAAGGCTTTCGATTCTAAAAAAACTTAACCTCAGTGTTAACAGTACAATTTTCAATTACAATTTTCTGAATTGTACCTACTGTTAACACTGAGTTTAAGTTTTTTTATTATATTTTTTGATTAATTTCTTAAGTAATATAAAATATTGAAAACAACGACCTTTAGTGTCATACTTAAAAAGAAAAAATAGCTTATGGCGTACTAATCATTCACTAAAAGTGATATTTTAGTTACGCATCACTAGACCAAACGACCTCCACGTCGCTTGGTCTATTGATGTTTAACACAATTACACAATGTGGCGAAAATCGTAAGTCGACCAAAAGCCTTTTTATTTTTTTTTTTTTTTTCGTTTTTCTTTAACATTAGCAAATCACTATTTCGCACTTAGAGAAAACATAGAAAAACTATCTTCGAAAACAAAAAATTACGACTATTGTAACATATACTGAATTTTAATAGAGTGAAAACTTTGAAGTCAAATATTTGAGATATTTGAGAAATCAATTTTTGGCTCTTGGTCTAGTGATACATAAACGCCGTCCAGATGAAAACATTTTCATTAAACAGTTCACTCTTCACAACCCCTCCATTCAAATTTTTCATGATTCATATTGTTCTGAAGCTATTTTCTTGTGGCATTTTAAATTAATTACTATTTAACTGGGAATAAGCCACAATTAAAGATAAAAATACGTTTATTGACGTTTCAATTTCCACTTCGGAAATCGTTCTCAAATACAAACAGTAAATAAACAAATTTTATTTTTTGTTACATAGTGAAAAATTCTTCTAATAATTTAATTTTAATCTGACTCATTTATATTGACAATTCAGACAATAATTATGCATTTTAAAGTAGACGACTTTAAATGATATTGAAAATATTGTTGAGTTGCGCTTCCTGGGACGACTTTTACTTATAAGATAGTTCATTCGATTACATGAAATCAACTTTAACTTGAGAATATCCGTCAGAAAAAAATCATAGCATGTAATTCGTCTTTAAAAAGACAAACACATGACATGATGACAGTAAAATTCTCCTGTTAGTGATTCCATAGTAAATTATGAGGAAAAACCAGGAAAAAAACCTCATAATACTATCCCGACATGGTAAGTTTTGTTCGTGCATTTAGTTTACCTTCAATAAAACACCAAAATTCTGATTTCATGTTTCGTTATTAAAAAACATAAATGATGTATCCCTCTATATGTTACTGACTTACTAATACTGGTATTTTCTTATTAATAACTTCCTCTTTCAATATTGGTAACCAGATCCTACTACATTCTCCCGAGGAATTTGCGACACAATTGGCCTCATTTACATAATTAGAGCCGCTTCTTTGATTTTTCTTTTTTTACCATCCGTTTTCTTTTAGGACTACATTTGAATTATTCCATTGAACCTCTATGTTCATTATCCATGCGTGTTTACATGTTTGAGATCTATTCAAATTCTCTATTTTTAATATAAGATTGATGTTCACTTATTCTAACATTAAATGTTAGATATAGTTTAATAATTCAAATGTAGTCCTAAAAGAAACGGATGGTAAAAAAAGAAAAATCAAAGAAGCGGCTCTAATTATGTTAAATGAGGCCAATTGTGTCGCAAATTCCTCGGCAGTAATGTAGTAGATCTGGTTACCAATTATTGAAGGAGAGAAAGTCATTATATAAGAAAATACCAATTACTATTTAACTGGAATTAAGCCACATTAAAGATATAAATACGTTTATTGACGTTTCAATTTCCACTTCGGAAATCGTTCTCAAAATACAAACAGTAAATTAAACAAATTTAGTTTTTTGTTACATAGTGAAAAATTCTTCTAATAATTTAATTTTATCTGACTCATTTATATTGACAATTCAGACATACATTATGCATTTTAAAGTAGACGACTTTAAAATGATATTGCCAATATTGTTGAGTTGCGCTCCTGGGACGACTTTACTTATAAGATAGTTCATTCGATTACATGAAATCAACTTTAACTTGAGAATATCCGTCAGAAAAAAATCATAGCATGTAATTCGTCTTTAAAAAGACAAACACATGACATGATGACAGTAAAATTCTCCTGTTAGTGATTTCATAGTAAATTATGAGGGAAAAAACAGAAAAAAAAAAACCTCATAATACTATCCCGACATTGTAAGTATTTGTTCGTGTTCAACTCAACAATATTGGCAATATCATTTTAAAGTCGTCTACTTTAAAATGCATAATGTATGTCTGAATTGTCAATATAAATTAGTCAGATAAAATTAAATTATTAGAAGAATTTTTCACTATAACAAAAACCAAAATTTGTTTAATTTACTGTTTGTATTTTTAAAACAATAATCCGACAATAGTAAGTTATGGGTGTGAAACATGGGTTAGAAATCTACCAATGCATTAGACGTGTTCGAAAGGAAAATATTGCGTAGAATACTGGGTCCAATAAAGGAAAATAAACAACTGGCGAATTAGATATAATAACGAAATATACGAACAATACACTGAACCAACACTAGCACAATACACTAGACTGCAGAGATTACGATGGGCAGGGCATGTGGCCCGCATGCATGAGAACAGAATCCCCAGAAAATTACTAAACGCAAGAATGCAAGGAAAAAGACCTGTTGGAAGACCAAAAAAGAGATGGGAAGACGAGGTAGATGAGGATGACAAAAATCTCCTAAAAACGCGTCATGGAAAAGAACAGCAGTAAATAGAGATGTTTGGAGAGGTTTAATGAAGGAGGCCAAGGCCCGGCTTGGGCTGTAGTGCCATTGGATGGATGGATTACTGTTTGTATTTTGAGAACGATTTCCGAAGTGGAAATTGAAACGTCAATAAACGTATTTTATCTTTAATTGTGGCTTATTCCCAGTTAAATAGTAATTAATTTCATGATTCAGTTACTTTTAGTTCTCGAGATATTTCTAATTGGCCGTTTATCTGCCGCACCGTGTATATAATCCAAGAGAGATATTTCCTAATATTAAAATTGTAATAATTTCTATTCCAGGTCATCGCATCCAGTTAGACCCCCTAGAAAAATAGACGGATCCAACCTAATCCAGACCAAAAACCTTGCACAAAACCTAGTAGACCTTTCTCTCGTCGATGAAGTTAAAGTTAAGAAAGAAGACGTAGAATATAGAAATAAGTCGGACCCTATCATAGATGACGACGACGTGTTAAGAAGACGAAGCGGTTTGACCGATGACGACTATATGTTAGAGATTCGTAAGATTTGTAATCCCGGAGATCCGGACGACTTTTATGACAGAAGCTACAAAGATTTGGGCTCCGGAGCGTCAGGCATCGTATTCTCCGCTACCTGTATAAAAACAGGTGAACTAGTCGCCATTAAAGATATTGATATGACAAAGCAACACAAGAAGGATCTTTTACTTAGCGAGATTAAGATTATGAAGAATTTCAAGCACAAAAATCTAGTGAATTTCCTCGACGCCTTCGTCGTGAACGACGACCATTTATACGTCGTGATGGAATTGTTGGATGGTGGTCCGCTGACGGACGTGGTTACCGAAACGGTGATGAAAGAAGGCCAAATTGCTGCTGTTTGCTGCGAAGTGCTGCAAGCCATTAGTTATTTGCACGAAAGGGGCACCATTCATAGGGATGTCAAATCGGATAATGTGTTGTTAGGTGAGTACTTTTATTTTTTCGACTGTCAGATTTAAAGTTCTTTAGTATTTTATATTTTTTTGTGCGGGTGATCTAAATTTTGTAGCCATAGGTAAGTAAGTACAGATGATAAAACACTGAAAACTTTGTTTTCAAACTTCCACAAAATTTATTTTAAACTCTTATCACTACAGCTGTTTCGGCTGATTGCCTTTCTCAAGTGATCTATTTTTGGCATGCGTTTACACTTTATAGTTTTTAAAGAAATAGGTTAAGGAAGGGAGAAATGTTTGTCTTAAGTTGGTCATTCAGAATTATATCTGTTTTTTAATTTGTTGATTTCCATAGATTCTAAAAAATAACAACTTAAGCAAATACAGTAGAACCTGCTTAATTCGAACTTTGTTAATTCGAAATCTTTATTAATTCGAATTTTTATTCTGGTCCCTAGCATTTCCTATATAAGTAATATAAAAAGTCGTGGATAATTCGAATTATATTTTGGATAATTCGAACTTTTCTACAAGTTAAAAATGCCAATTTCATGCTGGAAATTTCCGCTAAAAGGGTAGTATTCTTTTCTGTTCTAACGTGCCACTTGTTTCAAAGTCCATTGTACATTGTACCCGTACCTGTCACCTAAATTCTAGCTCATCTGGCACGCCCCTTCAGTTGAGATGCGTTGGCGTTGCAATTGCAATCACCGCAAATCACGTCCAGTCACTTCATATTGAGTAAAGATGTCGTCGCATGGTAATACGAAAACATACAAAACTTTAACGTTATCAGAAAAAATAGCAGCGATTAGAGAAGTAGAAAAGGGGACGAAGTAAAAAACTGAGATTGCCAGGGACTTTGGAATTCCTCCTAACACATTATCCACCTACTTGAAGAATAAAGAAAAAATTCTCAACAGTGAAAGTGAGTGCGGTAAAGATCGAAAAAGGTTAAGGGAGCCAGAAAATCAAAATTTAGACAGTTGTGTAGTTAAAATGGTTCAAACAAGCTAGGGATAAGAAGATTGCCGTAAGTGGTCCCCTTATAAGAAGCAAAGCTGAACAATTTGCTATTGAAATGGAGAAAAACAATTTTAAGGCGAGTACAGGGTGGCTCGACGGCTTTAAAGAACGCAACAAAATTTTTTTGAAATCTATTTGTGGAGAAAGTGGGACCGTTAATCAGCAAGAAGCCAACCAGTGGAAAAAAAATTTGTAAGAGATGATTCAGGGTATAGATGAAAGAGAAATCTTTATTGTTGACGAGACGGGTCTCTTTTTTAAATGCACTCCTGACAAAACGCTAGCATTTAAAAATGAAAAATGTCACGGAGAAAAACTAAGTAAAGAAAGAGTAACTCTCCTAATTGGTGCAAACATGGACGGATCAGAAAGACTACCTCTACTGATGATTGGCAAGTCTGCTAATCCGCGTTGTTTTAAGAACGTCAAGTCAAAACCAGTGGAATATGTGAGTAGCGCAAGAGCTTGGATGACTAGTGATCTTTTCGAGAACTGGCTGAAAAAAATTAGACAAAAAGTTCATAAAAGAAAAAAGAAAAGTTATTTTGTTTATTGACAATTGTACGGCACACACCACTATCCCACTGATGGAAAATGTAAAAGTTATTTTTTTCCTGCTAACATGACTTCAGTTCTCCAGCCTATGGACCAGGGTGTCATAAAAATTTTTAAACATTTTTACAGACGTTTTTTGGTTGAAAACATATTGATTGAAGATTGCGACACCCTTAAAATAAAGTTAGACATTCTACAAGCATCTCGAATGTGTAAGAAAGCTTGGGACCAAGTAACACCCGAAACGATCAAACACTGTTTCAAAAGAGCTGGTTTCATAAAAAAGGAGGAGAACACAGGCGACAATTTAACAGAAGAGCTGCTTTCAGTTGACTGCTGGGGGGACATCATTTCTGATCCTGCCATCTCTTATGAAGATTTTGTCAACGTGGATGAAGATGTTGCAGTATGTGGTGAAATAACCGATACAGAGATCATCGCTGAAGTGCTTAAGTACAATGATGAAAAACAAGAGAGTGATGAAGACGACGCATCATCAGTTGCGGAAGAAATACATGTTCCGAGTGCGGCCGAAGCAACACACCATATTACGCAACTTAAACGGTACTTTGAAAGTAAAAATGATGTAAGTCACTCTATTTTTAGTTCACTGAACATCTTAGAATCGTTTGCATTACTGAGACGTTAAATTCTAAAAAGCAGCTAAAAATTTTGGATTTCTTTAGGAAAAATTAGTCTATTTTCATTAATTGTAACAAATATGTATTCTTATTTTCAATAAATTTTTTGAGACAAAATGTTTTATTGTTTTATTGATGCGTTCTCACTGGGAATTTTTTATCTGCCGATTGTTTCGGCTAAGATTTGGCCAAAAATACCAATGAGAAAACCTGCAAATGATAAAAATCGACAATAATTGACCATTTGTTATAGCTTGCAAATGCTTTAATTGTATTCTGGCCTAATTTTTTTGGCCCATTTCTTTCGGTTGACAAAATTCGGGCAAAAATAGTAACGAAAACATCTGCAAGCGATAAAAATGGTCAAATATTGTTGATTTTTATCATTTGTATATATTTTTGTAGGCATCTTTGTTTTTTGTGGATATATTTTTAATTCGAATTTTTGGATAATTCTGCAAACGATAAAATATTTCGATATCTCTGCAGAAAACATCTGAAAGTGATAAAAATGGTCAACTATTGTTGATTTTTATCGTTTGCAGATGTTTTTGTAGGCATCTTTGTTGTTTTGTGGATATATTTTTAATTCGAATTTTTTTAAACGGTCCCTTGAGGTTCGAATTATCCAAGTTTCACTGTATATTAAAAACAACAAGAGAGAAAATAAAAAACACTTACACAGAGGTGGGTACAAACTTAATTGTGGCGACAGCCCAAAATCTGGTTGACGCTTTTTCTCCCTTTTTACCAATTTGGTGTTGACCGGTTTCCGTTATTTTTAAATATTTTAAGCTATTTTTGTTACCCCAGTCACTTGTTCGACAATTTGGCACTTTTATATTACTTTTTTTGAAATAATTAAAGTAATCTCGTCGCTTTGTTGGCGGTTTACCACTTTTTAATGCTTTTTTATTGCTTTTTGACACACTAAGAGCCGGAACGCTAATCAAAGCTTGATTGTAATCAAATATTTAATTAAAAATCAAATACGTCACATTTTGAGGTTATGTTGACTGATTTATTTTATTCAATCTTATTATTTTGCGTTTTAATTTAAAATAAACCATAACTAAACTCTTTCTGGTGTTAATTTCATGTTTTTATTTATAAATAAGTAATAATATTAAGCAATTTTTAATAATTTTGACAGCCGGTTGTTCGAACTCTAATCAAAGCTTGATTGTAATCAAATATTTAATTACAAGCAAATACGTCACAGCAGCTGTCAAAATTATTAAAAATTGCTTATTATTATTACTGAGTTGTCAATAAAAACATGAAATTAACATCAGAAAGAATTTAATTATGGTTTATTTTAAATTAAAACGCAAAATAATAAAATTGAATAAAATAAATCAGTCAACATAACCTTAAAATGTGACGTATTTGAATTTAATTAAATATTTGATTACAATCAAGTTTTGATTAGCGTTCGAACAATTGGCCCCTAAACTCTTTTTTGTCCGCTACGCGTAACCTTGAACTCCTTTTAGAGGTCAAAAGACCTTACCTACTCACGAATTTTTGTCCAAAATTGTTTGATCGTATTAATAACATTCCTATTGACCTCCACACATGTTCATTATGCTAAATAAGTGTACTATTTTTGTGATCTGTTTTCTTTAATAAATGCTTCTTGTAATGTTTAGGTATGAATGGAACCGTTAAAGTCACAGACTTCGGATTCTGCGCCAACGTAATAGGAAACGAACAAAGAGAAACCATGGTAGGCACTCCATATTGGATGGCTCCAGAGGTCGTAACCAGACAAAAGTACGGAAAGAAAGTCGACATTTGGTCCTTAGGTATAATGATCGTCGAAATGCTGGACGGGGAACCACCGTACCTCAGGGAACCACCACTGAGAGCTTTATATCTTATCACCGCTAACGGAAGACCCAAAATCGTACGATGGGACACGTTATCGGAAAAACTGCAAAGTTTCATGGATTTATGCCTTCAAGTTGATGTCGATAAAAGAGCTTCTGCCAAGGAGTTGCTGCAACATCCTTTCCTAGAAGAAAGAATGGAGTTGAGGACTCTCACGCCGCTTATTAAAGCCGCTAAGAAGATGTTACACAAGACTTAAATTCACTCTCGTCCACTTCGTCACTTCTCAAGAAAAAAACAGTTTGTGACATAAATATGCGCGATAAGTTCTTTCTAGACGTTCAATACTTAGATCAAAACATATAGTCATTTATATACTCTTTTTCTTGTATCTAAACAGGTTATGATTCATCAGATGCTATAAATATTATTATCTGGTAATTGTGATTTGTTTATGTTTATAAAATAATTCTGGGTATCGGTCTAGAAAGAATTTCTACGGAATTAAACGAATGCTGTATTTGATGAACGTTTGTAGATGTTTATCCATCCAGGCTAAGGACTATTTAATTGATTTTTTATGCATTTGAAGTTTGCAGCCAAAGCATCAACTCATATTTTACCAAGAAATGTTATGGTTATCTTTGCCTTATTAACTGTCTTCTTCCACGTCTCCTTGGGCGTTCAGTGCTGTTTATTTGAACGTTGAATCTATCCAGGTCCTCTTATTTTTATTTTATATGTCAACAGAATTCAACAGAAACTGAGGAACTAGATGTACAATAACTGGAGATACAGATTGAGCATAGTAGCAAGCCAGATTCAACAAGTGTGGGTAGGCCAGATTCAACATAGCCTCGGTTCGCATTCTACGGTAACTGGACTACCATATTGAATGTATTCTCGGAAGGAAACATATATAATATATTCTAGGAGCGAATTCAACAAATACTAGATGCCATATTTGACCTAATCGCGGGACTCATTTAACAGTATCTGTGGCGCCATATTCAGTGGAGTCTCTGGAGACTATTCAAAGATTCTGTAGAGACAGATTCAACATATACGCGACCGAAATTCAACAATATCGTGGAAGGAGGGGAGTAGTAGTATTTGTAAGAAAGGCTCCTTCGGTTCAGATTCAACACACAGGCAATTTAGATTCAGCGGTAACGGAACATACAAGGTAATTATAGTCGTGGGTCCGAATCTACTCGCTCGTAACGATGGACGGAAGCTGAATATTCGCGGATATACATAAGCTGTATATTCGCACATATTTAATAGTAACCAATACTGCCATAGTGAACACAAAATAATAATACTGGCGAGATTGATTCAACAGTTAGTTAATGCCCTGATTCATCAGAGAACTTATGCAAGACTAACAGAAAGGTTATATTGAATATGGTCCCGACCAGATTTTAGAATAACCAATTCAACAAAGTTGTAGATCAGGTTCGACAATGACTAGAAGGCCAGATACAACATAGAGGCTGGGAAATATTAAACATAACCACAATCCAGATTTTACATTAACTGAAGGGCCGGACGCAGTTACAATCGTATCAGTAGAGCCATACTCAACATAATCTGTTGTCTTGATAAACCGTAACTGCAGTGACAGTTTCAACGTAGTCTTGGGTCAGATTCAATAATAATTAGAGGTCCAGATCAAACAGTTTGTGGCAAGACTGACTCAACACTAACTAAAAGCTCTCTGTGATACGAAATAGATTCATTAATTACTCATAAAACCATACAGTCATACTCATAAAACTGGAGAACCAGGTTCAAGGTAATACTGTTTCAAATATAACTGATGTTTCAGCCTGATGAAAGGTAGTAATTGGTCATATTTTCCTCTAACTGAATGGTCAAATTTAACAATAACGTGAGGACTTATCCAGTATGTTTGATAGTGACTTAGCAAACTGCAACTAGACGAACAAATTCAATAAATGTGTTAGATTCGACGATAATTGGAGAAAAGATTCAAGTTTAACTGATAGTCCAGATTCAACGTAGATGAGAACCAGATTCAAAAGTAGGGAAGGGTCAAGTCAAATTTAATTCAAAATTATTATTGAGCAGATTCAACAGTAATGTGAGTTCCATGTGCGGCATATTTGCGGAGCAGATTCAACAGTAAATCTAAACCCAAACTGGTGTGTTAGGTTCGACAATAATTATAGACAAGATGAACTGCCAACAGCAACTGTAGAGCAATATTCTACATAATGGCGTGACTCATACAATAGTTACTACAGTACCAGATTCAACATACTCGTGAGTCAGATTCGACAATAACTGGAGGATCATATTCAACAGATGTGGGACTGATTCACGTGTAAACGAAGCCTCATAGTTGGAGCCTTTCAACATAGTTGTGAGCCAGATTCAATTGTAACGGAAGCTCAAAGTTAAACGCAATCGCTGACCAGATTCAAATACTAACTCGCCAGATTCAACAGTAACGCGGGGCAATATTAAGCAGTAGCCGTGACAGTGTTTTTATTCAGGTCTGGAATATATGCTGTTGTTTTTCTGTTCATAACTGACCTTTGGTTTAAAATATGTATTGATTTTTTGGACAATTTGTCAAACTCGTGCATAAAACCTAAAATTTGCAATAATAATTCGGTTAAGTCTTCCTCTACAAAGACAACACCCGAAATCTGAAGTATGTCAATAGTTTTGTATTTTATTGAAAATATTTTGATTTCGCTTAAATGATTTTTAGAAATGCCTAAGTTGTACAAAAGGCACATCATTTGTATCCCAAAAGCAGAAGACTGGTCCATACGCAATCAATGTTTGTAGTATGCAAAAATCTGAAATTATCCAACCTTCTGATCTTTCCGAGACTTGATATGCAAAGCTGAATTTGTTTTAACTTCGTCGTAAAGAGTGGAAGAGTTATCAACGCTGTAATTATACCATAAAGTGTTTTTAAGAGGAGAACATGAAAAGTTCTCGGTTTAGTAATTAGAATATGAGTTTTTTGTACACAAAATGTCGGTTCAAAACACTTAGTCTCAAGTTTGATTTGTCTCTTAGTTGAAATTCTGAAATTATCTCTTCACCTGTCACCGAATTATTATTTGGAAAGATCTAAAAGTCAGTGAGACATAAATCTGTCGAAGCAGGAGTATGTTCCAACAGTTCACACTTCAGATTCCTTAATTTTGCAGTTCGCAAAGTGATTTTGTTAGTGAAAACACAGTTTTGCTCAAAAGAGAATCTTTCCTTTCGCAAATTTGGCTTTCTCCTTCCATTTTTGTTATCTAGTTAGTCAAGAAGGTGTGCCAAGTGTTCCCTATTAGTTTTTGATGATTTTTGCTTGATTGGTCCAGAATCACTGTATTTTACTCATATATTTGGGTTGCTGTTTTAAGTCACGTGTGAACTAGTCGAACCCATTTTCATGCATTGGAACATTTAGTACATTCTAATACTTACACTTTTTCGTGTAAATGTGTCATGCCCTTCTGTGATGCCTACAAATTTAGCTATTCAATTTACAATACACAATTTACTGATACAATGATATAGAGAACATTTTTGGTCTATTTTCTCGACATTTACTTAAGATTTTCTTGTTTTTAAATGACACTTAGCGCCATCTATGGACTGGATAGAACATTTTCCACCTTCTACGTGATCTTTGTGATTTATTCATATCTGTAAGAGCCTAATTTCGGTTTAAGTCTTTTACATAGATGCTATGAATAGAGTACAGTTGTTTGGTTATAAATTTTTGAATATATACTATAATCAAACGTTATAGCACATTTATTGTTTGATACGCATTTGTGCGTCATGTTGAGAAACAATCAGACGCAGATATGCGTCATATATAGGAAATTCTTGTTTAACTCTTCCACTATACGACTTCCTAATTTTTTCAAATCCAGTGGAAAATAAGTGAAAAATAAAAGCAAATTAAAAATACGTTATTTTCCTCTTTATTTTTATATTGTTTGCGAGAAAATTGTTATCGTAGACATATGTAATATGTATATAATTGCAATTATCAAGTGGCCTTATATATTTGTGATTGTACGTCGTGGCATATTGACTGAAAAATTTAGTCCAAAATTATGCCATGTATTGTGCTATTATTTAACGCATAAATCCGAGATTGTAGTATATTTAGTAAACAAAATTATATGAAAGCTTATGACCACTAAAAACTTCAGTAAATGTTTGGAAAGATTTGGAAACAACATTGCTTTTGTCTTGCATTATTTTAAGGTCTTAAACAGAATTGTTCTTCTTCTGCCAGGTCCCCATTTACTTATATTCATATTTCTTATATCTGCCATGTCACAATTTCATTTTTCTAGAATTAATAGTAACTAAACTAAAAAAATAAAGTAAAAGAAGGCATATTAAGAATAAGCTTTGTCGTATTTTCAACCATTAAGATCAAAATTTCAAACCAAACGTTACTCAAAACATTTTAAAGGTCTTGTTGAAGTTGCGAACAGCAGTTTGTTAAAGAACGTGATGTTGCCACATATTTCTAAAAAATACATTTTAGCACCAATAAAAATATCCACACAAATTTAGTTAATGTAATTGTCTACAGACTAGGTTGTCTAGGGCTATAGTGTTTATAATTATATGCAGAAGTTTGTTAATTTTTTTTGAAAGTTTTCCAGGTTTCATTTTCTAACTTAAAAACTAGTGATTGTTTTTGTTGATTTGGCCAGGAAAATTATTGTTATCATTGTGACCTAAGCAAAGTTGCACTGTTATAGTAAAAGCGTAGTGTACGTTGTGACTGCAACTGTGGAACGGAAGATAATTTATTTATATCTACTATATTTCATACACCCCCTAGTATTTTTATGTTTTGGACGTCCCTGGTACACGCGAAAAGCCTTCAACAATGTATACTCAGCAAATCGTTTATTTTTATTCGTAAAATTGTCATTTTCTTTTTTGCTGAAAAGGCTTTTAATTTGGTATTGAGAATCATTGTTGTCATCTTGGCCCAAGCAACTCTATTTATCATGATTATATTTGTGTGTTCGACTGTTAGGCGCAAGATAACACGTTTATTCTTTTCATATTTCATAAAAACCTCGTATCATTACTTTTTGGACATCCCTTGTACCAGACTAAATGCTTACAAACAACTGGTACTTAACAGATTGTTTATTTTCATGTGTAAACCTGCACTGTTCTTTTTGTTTTCAAGTAAAACCCTTTACTAGGGCTGGAGAATGATTGTTGTCCCTGCAAAGCGGTAACAATCATCGATGAAAAGCGAATGTGCTATATTTTGTCTACACCTGTGGTTCCGAAGATAATTATAGATCTTCTATTTCTCGTACAGTCCCTGTATTATTAGTTTTTGGACGTCCCTTGTAGCAAATTTTATATTTTCATGTTTTTTCGCCCGTTTTTTTCTTAAAAAACATTAAAAAA